CGTCGTGACATTCAATTTTGTAGTGAATTGTGTCATCTAGTCGTTTTACAGTTTCTAAAATGTAATTTCCCTGGATTATTCTTTACGATTTTTTTATTTGGATGTGATTTTTTGTACGTACGAGAAAAATGACACATGTTTACAGTATACGAAAAAAATATTTGATTGATTACGTTGTACGTCTAGCCTGTGATTACAGAATTACGGAATTTATTTTTTCTATTTACGTTGTACGAACAAAAAAATATTGCAATTACGTTGAACGAAAATAACCCTTGCCCCCCCCCCCCCTATATAAAGACTGAAATATCAAAGGTCACTATGAGAAGCGGGTCACGTTATACCGCTGCTGTCACAGTGTTGAATTGACCAATGAGCGTTCTCAAAAGAATTTGTAGTTGTATGCAGTCTATGCTGCACGAGATGAATAAGCATCAAACTGACTACCAATTTAAGCTGCGCTATTCCACAATTTGCTTGAACGAAACCTCCTCAATTCTCGGCAGCTGTGGTAAAACTCAATTAAATCATGGTCACTTGATGATTACGGCACATAAATGTCGCTTATATAGTCATGTGGTGTCACCATAGCTGTCAGACGTAGGAATCATCCAATGAGCCTCCTCAAATTCAATGCCTTGGTCAGTGTGTACTACCCTTCCCAGGCAGCCAAAAATTGCGAAAAATGGGTACCCTTTTGAGATAATTTTGCGAAGAATGTATACCCCGTCTCAGAAGAGTTCTTTTATTCTTCCCCTCCAATATAACGATTGTTAACGTTGTGGCTTGAATAAACTTTTTTTTATTTCGTTTCGGGGATAATACTTATAATTTTAAAGCGCGGTGGTCGTCGCGCAGCGCGTGTTCCAATTTCATGTAAATAAACAATGTATTTTACACGCGTTATATACGTCGCTATGAGTCCCATATCGAACAGGACGTGGCACGACGACTACCGCTCTTTAATCATGATTTTTTACATTTTACACCACTTTCCAGACACTTTCACTAAAATAAAAAAACAACAACACACATTTCAAACATCTTTAAAGCTTTCAAATGGATAGGGCATGTGGGCATATGAGAATACGCAAATCTAAAAAACAAAATGCTGACTTCCGAGCGTTTAATAAAGTTTGCAACAACCGTGATACAAATTTAATAATTCCTGGTCACTTGCTGGTTACTCCATTTTTTTCTATCCTATACTACAGCTGTAGTGGTAAATAACGATGGAAACCGAAACCCACGTGACAGCTGATTTATTACACGTCTGGTATATTGTTTTCAATCAGCAGCTAGTTACGTATTTTTTCTCTCTCACAGAATTCCCATGATAGACTTTGGCAATAAAACAACTGATGTTAACAATTAAGTCGGCGGGACGCTAATGGTGTAGGCCTTATTTGACTAAAATAGAACAGTTAACGTCGAATGATTCTCGCAGTGTGTACATAATTATGACACTATTACGTAATAAATTTTGTCTAAAATTATTTCAGTATTTGTCAACAGTATGTGGATTATTTGTTTGTTTATTTGTTATAAAACATTTTCTTGAGTCCTCTTATAAGGTTTACAAGTGTAAAGATACACGAAAGTTGATACTGTAAACGTTACAATGGTTTGAATACAAGATTACAATATTCAGTCTTTAGTGGTTGTAAATTGTAATTTTCTCCACTTTTTATTGTGTTTACTCATTTTCCCTTTCCTTTTTGCAGTGTAACATTCAATCATTTCAAAATTGACAAAATTTGGTCTTTTTTGTTGACACCTACATACATAGATAAAAACTCTTGGCCAACAGAATCAGAAAATTTAGTAACATAGGACGAAGGCAAGCACCTAATATATTGAATTCAGGGTCTAATGACCCTGGAGCTCCAACATGTTTTCCCCATTCTTCAATGAATCATGTCCAGCATGCATTGACGGGAACACAGTGGTAGAACAGGTGAAGAAGAGTTTCATCTGGCCCTTTACAAAATGTACATGAACATGATTCAATTCTTGGGGGGGGGGCATCCTATAGAGTATTGTGTTTGTAACCAGGATATTGTGAGAAATTCTCCACTGAAATTCTCTTAATTTTGAATCAATGGTGACCAGTAAATACTTCCCCATTCATTTATAAATGAATCAAATGCTTTTATAAAGAAAATTTCCGATCGTGGTGAAATGAAGTAATGTTTTACAATACCCCGGGTAACTGGTTTAATTTTGCACTGACTCAGATGATATTGCACTTCAATAACTTTTATACCTATCTCAGTATTCTCATCATTGGTCCTTGTAAATTTTGATATATCAACATTTTGTTTCCACCTAGGTGGTATCGGTGCAATTATCCCATACCATTTCAAACAGCAGTGACGGGGCACTTCTCTCGACAAGATCTCCTCCCATTGTAAGACTTGACTAAGATGCCCAGCATACTGAAATCCAGCTTCAAAAAAAATAGTTGTTAAAAATACTTTTACCCCCTTGAAGAATATTATATTTATTCCAGATAGCTTGGTTGAGAAAATGCTCCTCATCGTTGCTTTCCCCGGCCACAGAAATCCAGGCTTGCATCATTCTAAGATTTATCCCCTTGAATACAATAGGTCAAAGTTTTATTTTAAAATTGGCAACAGTGATTTTACTCCGCCAATACTGTGAAATTTCCTATGTAAAAACCATTTTCATGGATGGGTATTGTTGTCGTGGTAACGCCTCAGCCAGTTTATACCTTGGGCCTTAACTATAGCAAAAAAGTTGGGCCTGCCCAGCCCACCTTCTCCTACTTCCCCAACCACAGTTTTCCGTGCAACCCGATGCCTTCCCATTCCACAGAAATTGAAATAACAATTTGTTAATTTTTTCAGGATTCTATTAGGACAGGTTGTAAGATTTAGTACATATTGGAGCCTGGAAATTCCCATAGATTTAATAATCTGTACCTTTCCAAGCAGAGTTAGTTTCCGAAATTGCAATGACATTCTGAGTTTCTCCATGGGCTCAGCAAAGTTCCTTTCAGCAGCTAGTTTTTTATCATGGGAGAAATAAATTCCTACAATTTTAATAATATTCGGCCAATTCACTTTCAGAGGTTTGTCTTTACATTTTTTCACGCTTCCCAACCACATCGCCTCACACCTGTCTTCGTTCTGCAAGACCCGAAATTGTTTCAAAATCTTTCAATATTTGGAAAAGTCTCCTACAGGAGGGGAGGCCAGTCAAGAAACATGTGAGGTCGTCTGCAAAAGAAGCACTTTTAATGTTTCCAAAACCCGGTACTGGGATTCCCTTAATTTCTTGTTCTAACCGTATTGAGAAATAAACATATTTCTATAGTAAGAATGAATAACATTAGGGTTATTGGATCTCCCTGTCTGACCCCTCGTCCTAGAGCGAAATATTCAGTACTAGTACCCCTATTCATAACACAGCTAAAAATGTTTGAGTAAAGAGTTTTTGTCCACCTAATAAAGCTGGGTCCGAAATTAAATATTTCAAGAGTTTTGAATAACAAATACCATTCTACCGTGTCAAAAGCCTTTTCCAGGTCTATTGTTAACAATATCCCTGCCTTAGTTTCCTCATCCATATAGTCAAAGATGTTTTCTATTTGTCTATTTTTGACAAAGACCGATTGAGTATTATGAATTATATCTGAGAGAACTTTCTTTCTAGCCTTTTGGCCAAACACTTTGTTCCAATTTTATAATCAGTGTTGAGGAGCGAGATGGGGCACCAATTTTTAAGAAACCTACTATCCCTATCTTTTTTTTCCCAACAATGTGATAACTGCCTGTTGCTGAGATGGGGATAATTGACCTTGTTTATAGGCGGTGTTTAGGGAGTTAACTACATATTTAGACATCATTGGCCAGAATTTGCTATAAAACTCTGCTGGCAAACCATCATTTCCTGGCGTTTTATTCACAGGCAGGGCTTTAATAATACATTTGGCTTCCTCCAAGATAATAAGTCCCTCACATATTTGAGCCTGGTCCTCAGTCAATTTTGGTATGTAAGGGTTTTGAAGAAAAGTGGATTGGACGTTAAAATCAATATTGGTTTTTAGGGTGGAGGCGTACAGTTTTTCATAATAGAATTTGATTTGTTTATTTATTTCTCGGGCCGGGATCACTGATCCATTTGTATTTAAAAGGTTGGTAATTTGTGATCTCAAATTTGTTTTCTCAGTTTGCAGAAAATATCTGGAGTTTTTCTCCCCTAATTCGTGCCAATTAGCTCGTGATCTAATGATCTGTCCCTCTGCAATGTCATCATATTCTTTCTGAAGGGATTGTTTTGTTAATTCATAGTTATTTATACAATCATTTGTTGGACTGTATCCCATCTCGCTCTCCAATTCCGCTAATTTCTTTTCCGTTTTAAGGATTTTCTCTCTTTGTTTTTTACTTTTTTCTTTACTATAAGTTATGGTTGACCTCTTTATACAAAACTTCAATTAATCTTCATCTCGCAGCAAACTTGTGTTTAGTTTCCAATATGAAGAGCCCCGACTACATTCATCATATTTAATACTTAGTGATATAGCACAGTGGTCAGAGTGCACACATGGGATAATTTCAATAATCAATTGTAATATTTAACACAGACTGACTCGTGAGGAAGTAGTCATGTGGATTATTTTATTTTTTATCTATTATTATGAAAAAAATCTCAAAATAAGATGAGGTTATTACGAGGCTACCTCCAAGTATGTACGAAGGCAGTACAGATGGAGTATCGACCGACGCGCAGCGGAGGTCTATGCGCGGCGTACTGTCTGAGTGCATACGTTGAGGTATTCTCGTAATAACCTTATTATTATACATCTTTTCCTCCCAATGATACATATTGGGAATGCCAAAATACAAAAAATTCAGAACAGAATCAGCGAACTTCTTTGTGTGGAGTTCTGTCAAACCTTGATGGCAGCCCGGGGATGGCAGCCATGTTTGTGTTCATTATTAGAGGATGCTTACGCGAGTAATCATTCCATATTTGGAATTCGCATTTCCTTATACGGTAGGATGAAAATATCCCGTAAAATACCGCAAAATTACGGCACTCTGTATGTATATGTATAA